TGAGGTAAAGCATTCATTATATATATATATATTACTTGTATAGTAATTTATTTGTTTACTTTAATTAATTAATTTGTTTAATAGAGAAAACGTTCACAACGTAAAAAAGAAAACAAGAAAAATAGTAATAGTAATAGTAATAATAATAATAATAATAATAATAATAATAATAATAATAATAATAATAGCGATACCTCTAATTTAAATTTCACGCAACAACCATCAACAGATGATAATAATGAGTTTACGGATTTAGATGATGAAAAAATAATGCAATTGGAACAAAATAAAATTCTTTTATTTAATTGTAATCAAATTGTTGATTTCAATAGTGGTGATATTATTTTACCAACAAGAATAACTTGTTATTGCAGACATCATAATGAAAAAGTTGGATTTCGGTAATTATTTTTCATAAAAATTATTATTATATTATTTTATTTTTTTAATTTAACTAATAATGACAATAATGACAACAACAACATTACTATTTCTTGATAAAATAAATTAGAATTTGTTTTAGCATAAAAGATCATACAAATAATATTATTGCAACAGGAATGTCACCTCCTATCATGATAACTGATGATCATAAATCATCTAAAATAAAAAATGGAATGGCAAAAAAACGTTTAAGAACTGAACATGGTCATAGTAATACAAATAATTCATCCAAAAAAATTTTAAACGATAGACAACACCATAAACCTTCCTCTCCACTTCCTTCTTCCACCTCATCTCCTTCTAGTAACGTTTATAGGAACAACAACAACAGTAATAATTTAATGATGAGCATCTCTCCAGCTGAAATTCAACCAGATTCTTCACTGTTAAATGACTCAAAAGACACTTCATCATCTTTAACTTCATCTCCTCAATTATCAAAAAATAATATAAAACAACAAACTCCTTCTTCATTGGAAACCACTCCAAATTTAATTTCTTCCATTTCACCTATTCATATTGCCCCACAAAATCTATCTAATCTTTCGAATAATACCAATTCATTATCGTTTCAACATAACCAACAACAATACCCTCCCCGATTGCACGATCATCAACAATTTGATCAAACTTCTATTATGGAAACACCCGCATCTCAGTATAACTTTGCTTCTTCAATAAGAAACAATGATAATGCAAATGTTATCAATCTAGCATCAATAAGCTGTTCTAATTCTATTTATGATCCAACACATTTACTACAAAATTTTGATAGTGATCCTACAAGATTTAACATCAACAATGCAAACACAAGAAGTTATGCTGATTCAATAAGACTTCATAATTCACATATTTCTAACAATCCAATGATCAGAAGATCTTTCTATAATTCAAATGGAAATATAACTAGTGCTGCTGCCTCCACATACCAGAATAACACAATGGCTGAATTCCAAATACCGAAAATGAACAAATTAATCCCTTCAGAAGGTCCAATGTATGGTGGAATTGAAGTAACTGTTTTAGGAAGTGGTTTTTATGGTATGTTTTCTAGCAAATTTCATATATTTGTATATATATATGAAGGCATTTATTTATTTTATACATGTACATATATATCTTACATTAGATGGGTTGACCTGTGTTTTTGGTGAAATACCTGCTCTTCAGACACAATTTTGGTCGCCGAATGCCTTAGTTTGTTATCTTCCACCTTCACCAACCCCCGGACCAGTTGCTGTTACTTTCAAAGAGCATACTAATCAAGACTTTACTATTTTCAATTATACTAATAGTAATCATTTTATTTATATACATACATATATTTTTTTATTTAATGTTATTAATATTAATATTATTTATATGTTATTACTATCACATTAAAAATATTAGATTTAGAGGATATGTCAAGAGACATATTAAAATCAGAAACGTGTGGATTATCAATACCCG